GACGCTACTAGGGCTCCTGGCATCGCTACTAGGAGCATTCTTACTATTAGTGACAAGAAGCTACTAGGCTTAGGGGCTCCTGACATCGCTACTAGGAGCAAGGACGCTACTAGGGCTCCTGGCATCGCTACTAGGAGCATTCTTACTACTAGTAACAAGAAGCTACTAGGCTTAGGGGCTCCTGGCATCGCTACTAGGAGCAAGGACACTACTGGGGCTCCTGGCATCGCTACTAGGAGCATTCTTACTACTAGTAGCAAGAAGCTACTAGGCTTAGGGGCTCCTGGCATCGCTACTAGGAGCAAGGACGCTACTAGGGCTCCTGGCATCGCTACTAGGAGCATTCTTACTACTAGTGACAAGAAGCTACTAGGCTTAGGGGCTCCTGGCATCCCTACTAGGAGCAAGGACGCTACTAGGGCTCCTGGCATCGCTACTAGGAGCAAGGACGCTACTAGGGCTCCTGGCATCGCTACTCCTGGCATCGCTACTAGGAGCATTCTTACTACTAGTGACAAGAAGCTACTAGGCTTAGGGGCTCCTGGCATCGCTACTAGGAGCAAGGACGCTACTAGGGCTCCTGGCATCGCTACTAGGAGCATTCTTACTACTAGTAACAAGAAGCTACTAGGCTTAGGGGCTCCTGGCATCGCTACTAGGAGCAAGGACGCTACTAGGGCTTCTGGCATCGCTACTAGGAGCATTCTTACTGCTATAAGATGCTATAAGAAGGTATACTGATGTATTTCGCAGTATCGCCGGTGGCAGGTCGGAACTGTGCCCAGCACGTCTCTCCCTACGCACGGGCGCGGGCGCGCTGAAGCGCAAGTCGTCCTTCCACTCCCAGCTGTTAAGTCGGACCATGCGCAGTAGCCTTACCCATGGCGGAAGAATGCATTCACTCCCCATGGCCCCTTTTTAGAGACAGTCGAGAAAGAAGGGTCACAGAAAATCAGCCACTTAGGGGCTGTATATTCATGCATCCTTCCATGCCAAATCCTCCTTTCATGCTGAAGTTGTTTGTGCTTTTGGAGGATGCGACTTACCGGTTCCAAGACTTGACTTCGTGCGACCCGTGGCGGGCGGCGTGGCGGGTGGCTGGATCCAGGACTCTCGTTCTCCTGCTTGGGGGCTTTCGCTAACTCAAAGCTAAGACAGAGCGACTCGTCCAAAAAGTCCAAGTTAGCTGCTATAGCTCTGACTAGCTCTGACCACCGACCGGGCAGGCGGGCAAGTACCGACTCGTCCGTCGCACCGTTCGTCAGCTGATCAATTCGAGATCCACAGGTCACGTGAAAACTGTTCCAATCCACGGGACGAGGTGAGCGACCGCCCCAGCGAGGAAGGCGCGACCATTTAGGGAGTGCCGGAGAACACGCCAGGGGGCCCATGTCGGAATCCATGCGCTGTCTGGAATGTCTGGAATGTTTGGAATTCTCAGTGCCGACATTCTTCATATTTGGATCGCGGTGTATGTGTTGTATTTTTGCAGACACTCAACCTGGCTGGGTAGACTCGACGAGTTGTCCGAACCGAACCCCCCCCGCGGGTCGGAACGCGTTCGGTCGAACGCACTGAGCTACACACCCATATCAAACCATTGCAGCTGTACTGAACAGTTCATTTAGGCCAATGTTTGTTCACACCCTGCTTCATACTGCAGAGTGCAGTGTTGCTTCATCATGCTTCAGAATGCTTCATAAAAAATCACATCAGGATCAGCATCACGCTTGCCATCAGGTCCTCCAGCTCCTCCAGGTCATCCCCTTCGGACCGTTGTTTTTCCTCTTCTATCCGTCCCTTCACCCGGCCGAACGACCACCCCAGACCCTACAACGAAACAACCGCTCGACGTTTCCCTAGGAAAGCAAAGGGTCACCGTGAACATCCATTATATAACCTTAACCTTTTTCCACCTGTTGCATCTGTCTTTGCTGTGTTGTACAGCATCATCGGTGACACGCAGGTCAGGTCGATGAAAGATTCTACACATGAAGATTGCAAACAACGAATTAAGCACGACACAAAGAAAGCTCGAACTGCCAGGTTTTCAGGGTACGTCCGCCCCCTTCCATAATGAGCCTTGCGAAACCAGTCAACTCGTCCTTGGAAATAAAAGGTCTGGCACCGAAAATAGCCCCTCTCGGCAGGGCACGACCACAGGAATGGCTCTGATCCCGTTCATGTTTACCAGGAAGGAATTTCTGGTGATGTAAAGCAAATACCTGGTCACAAACTCGTTTGAGGAACTTGGTCAAATCTCCAAAGGTACAAGGAGGAGCAATTTCCTCCAGTTTGAAGTCGCGAGCCGCAAAAATGAACGCCAACTCAACGTATGCGAGAGAACAGTCTTTGTGTATCTTCCATTTCAAGGAAAGAAGAAAGGAAGACAACGTATCGCAATCCGTCGCTGAACATAAGTTGCCACATTCGGCTGCAATATCGTGTGAAGCACCTGGAGTCCAACCAAAGGAGCCAAGCTGCGGGTTCCAATCCCATTCCGGAAAGCGGGACTCATAACCGATCTGCGAGGACTCGGGCAAGGCTTCCTCTTTTGTAGTATAGACATTCTTTACCGGACAGTCTGAACCAATGAATTGGTTTAGGCGTGCCAACCCTGATTGTCTTGCAAAACACTCATGCTGTAGGTGTTTGAAGATCCGTGGATTGATGGGGGCAAGATCCCTAGCAAGTTGTTTCGCTGTTACGTCCGCAAGCCGGTTGCAGATTAGGTGATCCACAGGCCACCCAACACGTTTTGAGACCTCTTCATCAATGTCTTGAAGTGGCACATCATCACATTGGTGCGCTGGCATCCACACAAAAGAACATGGCGAACCATTACCGATGTCCCGGTCACGATAAACTTGCCAGAAAAAGGCCCACCATTCCCTGTGCGCCCAATTGGGAGGGACTGTTCCCAACTCAATGAGCTCAAAGAACATGTTGACGACAGTTTTGCAGTCGGTAAAAATCTCAACAGGCACACTCGAGGTGACAAAGGCAGCAACTCCTGCATAAAGTTCAGCAGTATATGAGGATAAAGAGAAGTGATTCACACGACCTTTGCCAACGACCTCTCTATGCACATTGACCACGGCATAAGCAGCTGTCTGCAGCCAGTATGATTCCTGTAAGACTAATGAGCCATCAGTCCACAACCTCTGACACGGATCCGAAGCACGAAATGTTGCAACCTCTGGAAGGGAGACTTGCTGAAGCCTCACATCACAAATTGCAACGGGATGCTCAACGAGCCCTAACCCCACAAAATTGGGCCCGAGATCATGTTTGGGACCAATCTGAAGATGCGGTGGAACATGGTCGCAGTCTTCCACAATGTGAAGGAGGGATTCCTTGGTTTGCTGGCAAAAGCGGCACAGAGAGGACTCCGTGAAACCCGCAGCGCACCTTCGGTCATTAGTTATTGTGCATCCCACTTGTTGTGATTCAAAGTGTGGAATCAAGGAAGGCTCACCTGGAACGGGTTTATAAAACTGGCGGAAACAACTCGAGAGATCAAAGTCGAGGAGGCCTGTCGGTCTTTTGACATCCTTCCCAGTACGGAAGCTGACGTTCTCATATGCATGCTGACGGCCCATTACCAAAAGAAAGGGTCTGAGATCACGGATCTGAACCTCCAAAATGTTGAACTTGATAGAACCAATCCCAACCTGCATGTTAGGGAACAAAGCAAGGTGGAAAACGCTCAAAGCATTGGTGATGCGCTTTAGGAAGCTGTGTTGGTTCTGCAACGAAGCATGAAACAACTCCCTAAGTAAACAAAGTGACTCAGGATGCTGGTGCACAAATCTCCAAAAGTTTCGAACGGCCGTGTAAGCACGGGCAACTGTTGGTTCCGCATAACAAGGTTGAGACAACAAAGTGAAAACCAGGCCCTTGGATCTCCAGTGGGGACGATGACCCCACAGGGCAGTTGCAATTTCACTTTCCAGTTGGTTCAAGGCTTTCTTGGGGATGGAAGAAATATCCGCTGCAAAGGTGAATTGCGGGATCACTTTCATGGCGAGCAATCTTTGCTTAATCTTTCCTGGGATTGGGAGGGCAGAAATATTTTTTATATCCATGGAGATTTTGGAAACTTTCGCGTCATCAAAAAGAAAGCACAGGCGTTCAGAAGTATAAATCTTAGTGCCCAGGGCATCAAACTCCTTGACGAGGGGAATGTTCCCAAGGATCTGTTTTGCTTCTTTCCTGGCATTAGGCGACGTGGCCCATAGAGAACTCTTGGAGGGGTTTAGTTGCTGTCCCACCAGGTCATTCCATTTCTGGGATACTTCAAAGGCTACACGGAGGTTATGTAAATTTGTGATTTTCGTCCACAAATCAGCATCATCGATAAAAGCCTTAGCAGAAATGCCAGGGATCAAGGATACAAATTTCGACCACACGGCCATATAAGCGTTGATCGCAAGCAATGAAAGGCTGCATCCTTGGGCCACACCGTTGGCAGCCGTTGTCGCAATACTCTCTGTCCACCCCCGAAAAGAGAGGTGTTTTGTGAGAGCCCCGTAAAGCTTAAGGAACATGTTCACGATTCCTTTAGGCATACCGAACGCAAGAAACAGCGCAGCGGCAAAGGCAGGAACAATCCGATCAAAGCATTTGGATTGATCTAACTTAATTCCAACAATGTGCTCACCCGAACTCTTGGCTTGGTCGATTTCCAGGCGGAGGCCCACACTGATATCAGACATATATCTATTCTTAATTGCACCACAAAGGTTATCCGGAAAGACTTTTGCTTGCCACTCCTGTAAGTGTCTGAACCTAGTGCCCGAATAGGCCAGAAACAAGGGAGGAAGAACAGTGATAAGTCTTTTATTAAGTGGGCTTGCCGGGCCTGGTTTGTGCAAAATGATCTGCTTGGCACAAGCCAAAACTTTGGGGATGTCACAGTCATAAGCTTCTTCTAAGTCACGGAAGAACGAGGCGATGGCATCGCAACAACTCCAAGGCAAGAGCTGAGTGTCTGCCGTGCGCCAGCCATCCAAGCCAGCGGCAGCCATTGGGTTACGACTTTGGATGGATCGAAAAATCTCCTGACCCGTAAGGGGAGGTAAATCAAACTTAGGCAAGTCATGATCCAAATACGGCCACACAGTGTCTAACATTCGGACAGGGTCCTCGTGAAGGGCATTAGCACTAAAAATATCATCCCACTGGTCATTGATGGCAGCAATCGCCCGGTGTGGGTCAAAGACGATATTGCCCTGGGGATAAAGGACCAGATTAGTGGGTTCATCCTTAGTTTTATTGCGGAGGTGGTGGAAAATGAATTTGAGATTCCCCGAGGCGGACTCTTGAATTTTGGTCTTCCAAGCATTGATTCTCTTTCTCTTGCACTGCTCTTCCCAATGCTGAATTTCACTCTTAATCCAAGACAAATTGGCATGGATATCAACAAGCGAAGGTTGCACGTCAGGGGGCCACAAGTGTGGCGAGCCAAGATCCTGCAAGGTCGAAAACACTCTCCATGCAGTTCTTTGGAAGATCTTCTGGTCAGAGGGCTTTCGGGAGAAACGTTGAGCCCGAGTAAACAGTTCCCATAAACGGTTCATTGTGTTGTACAAGAGAGAACCCTTCAACGAAATAGCAGCACCGGAAGGGGCTTGCCCTGGAAAGAAGCGTTTACGGCGAAAAAGAGGCATTTCGCCTCTAACGCGTCTCCCAAAACCCCACTTGGCACCATTATCAAGCAGGGAACTGGTACAGAACTCATTGATGGTTTTCCACTTACAGTCGAAAGAATCTGCAGCTTCAACACGGCTTTGGTAGCAGGAGCGCCACAAGTTTGAGGCATTTTGATCAGCTGCACACCCTACCTTCCCCGTGGGGCGAATGGTGTTAGTA